CCTGACTCAGGGTTCCTCATCCTCGTCCTCGCCCTCCACCTCCACGTTCTCCTCTTCCTCCTCCTCCTCCGCTTCCTCCTCCTCTTCCTCCTCCTCCTCCTTTCCCCTCCTCTTCCTCCTCCCATCCTCCTCGATAGATCCTCCTCGATCGGTCCAGTCCTCGATCATCATCCTCGATCGGGAAGAGGGGCCTGGACCCGGGCAGCTCCCCGGATCAGTTATCCCGGAACCAGTGGCCCGGGGAGAGCCACACAGCCACGCGAGCCTGGAAGCTGAGACACACCTTGAGCCCGGGCCCACCACCCTCCAGGGACACCTTTCCCTGGAGGGCCTCCGCCACCGAGCCGATGTCGTCGTCGCAGCCTCGCGCCAAGCTCGGCTCCCCTGCACCTTCTCCCGCGGCGGGTCGCGCCACAGCTTCGCCGGCCCATGTCGGCGCCGCTTCCGCACCAAGTTCAAGCCCTCTGTGGAAGTCAACCACGAAGGGGTGGCTGCTCAGGACAACGAGCGCGGCCGATCCAAGGCAGCCTTGACTGGTGCCCGAGCAGATGTCGAACATGTAGAAGCACGCTCTGCTGCATGAGCTACAACAGCGAACCCCTGCGCACAAGAGCTTTACTAACGTCAATAACGGGGCGGGAGCCCTGAAAGACTCTAGGGCCATCATGATCAACTGGTACGATACTAACGGAAAAACCTGAGCATAATCCAAGGCTGTCAGCGCTGGGGGCCTGACAGCTGCATCGGGGCGCGCCAATGCCATGCGGGCCCTCGCGACACTTTCTCTGATGTCCAAAATTGCGTCCGCCAGAGCACCCCCTTTGCAAATACTGCGCCACTCGCGCGAGAGCTCGGCTGAGCCCCTCGAAGATGCCGCCGCGATGATCTTATTCGACGGTTGCTCCCGCCCCAGCGGCCGAGTCTGGACAGCTTCCCGAATGAACTGAAACGGATCCTCACCCTTGCAGCCCTCGGCGACGCTCGCGCCCCTGACGCGGTTGAAGGAGGGGGGCGTGGGTTGACATGCGAACATCCACCAGACGGCTCCATCTAAGATCTGGATCGCGCTAGGGTCTCCCTCAAGCCCATCGGGCCCAGGGGATCTGTCTTCGAGACGTTCGAGGCGCCGCTCGGGTTGCCGAAGGGTGGGATGAGCCAGGTCAAGGAAACCAGCATCGCAAGCGTTTTGGCGAAGGTATTCAGCAGCAACAACAGCAGCGTCGATCGTTTTCCTCTCGAACACGGGGCGCCAATGCTCTCCCAACTCCTGCAGCGCTGCGCCGGGCTCGGTCTGGATGGTCGCGTCAATCCCTGGCCGAATCCCCTGCGAGGAGAGCCTCCGATCATGCCAGGGCCACCGCCGGCTGCGTCGGGTCGCGCTTCGAAGTTTCTCGTCGCCGTCGCGCCTCCTCCTGCACGGCAATCGCCTGGCGAAGCGACTCGGATCTACGAGCGCACGCGGCCGGATCATCGCGCTCCACTGCCCGCGCCAGCGGGTCAAACCTGAGACGCAGCTCGCCGAGAGCGCGAGCACGCCACGGGCTCTGGGCGAGCCCCAAGTCCTGCCGCCACACTGCCATCACCATCCATCTTCACCGCCAGGGGCCTTGCGAAAGGGGTCCTCGGGGCTCCCGCCTGTCATCGCGCCCCAGGCGGTCACGGCGGCCGCGCGCATCATTTCGGTTCGAGGTGCAGGGCGAAGCGGCGGCGACAGATTACTCTGGTCACGCTCTGCCTGCATCGCCTTTACAACTTTGCTAACGCAGGGCCCCCGAGGATACAGGGCGCTCATCTGCGGGAATAGGCCCCCTGAGCATGAGAGCGACTCGGAAGTGGGAGAGGTCCGATGTGCCCTTCTTGCCGGGGGGCCGCTGAGGCCTAGAGCTCACTGCTGGCACTGTTGAGTTGCGTGCACCACCCACCTGGACTCGACACGAGCTGGCGATCAATGAAGCAGAGGGTACGGGAGGGGGCGCAGTGGTTGGCAGTGCCTGGCGAGTCCAATTCAGTCAACTTATTTACTGCAGACTTCGTAATAAAGGGAGGGGGGTCTCATTTCGGGGGGGGTCTCTTCCAGACTATCTTGGAGGGCCTGGGGGGGGTCTGGGGACGATGTTTTGGAGGGTTCTCCCACGGGGGGGATCTGAAATGGCTTGTCTTGGAGGGTCCAGACCCCCTCCCCTTTTATTACGAAATCTTGAGTAGGGCCTTCACCCATGTCGAGCCATGCCGGGGGCGCCAGGTCCTGCAAGATGCGGCGTGCTGCTCCCTCCTCTTCCACCTCTGCCTCTCGTCTCGGCGGAATGCTGGCGAAGTTGATGTCGCCAGCAACGATCTCGAGTCTGGCGTTCGGGTCGGTCCCTGCCTGGTCCAGGCCCCGAGTACTCTTACCCGCGAACATGTGCTTTCCATCCTGGAAAAACATGTAGCTGCGAATGCTGCAATGGGTTGGCGCGGCCCCGTGGTCGAACTACAAGCGAAGCTTGATGGCGCGCCCCCGAACCAGAGGATTGTAACTGAGACGGGGCTCGCGAGTGCCCGGGTGCCAAAACCTCGGATAGAAGGTGATAACTCCTCAAGCTCTGCGGCCGGAATCAGTATCCTCCTCACCGGCTCTTGAACAAAGAGAGCACATGCAATCGAGCTGGGCGTTGGCCTGGTAGACTTTATCCCGGACCTTGAAGAGACGACCGTGGTTCTCTTGAACACCGGCCAGGGTTCCAGGATAAGCAAGGAAGCGAGGAGCCAGGCGAACTTTGTGTTCCCGAAGAGACGGCGGGCATTCAAGGGGCGTTCCAACCCTTAACCGTTAGAGGCTCATCAGCAGCTCTGGCGCCGCGCAACGCGCGGAAAAGCGAGCTAAAACGCCCGCGTCGGCAATTGCAGCCAGCCCGGCTGCTCCGAAGTCGCGGGCGAGCTGGTCCTTGTCCAGACCCAGCGCCACCAAGGCCTCAGTGCACCCGTGCACGATGAGTGCATCATCCCCAGGGCTAAGCTTAAGCATTGCCGGTGATTTCCAAGAGCTCGAAATTTCGCCCTTGACCTTGTCCGTGACTAAGACGCATGGAAACGTTGACCGACCCCAGCACCCTCCTGGGCTGCTTGAGCCCGAGCTCTCGCTTGATTTGCGCGGGACTTCTGTTGGGGCTGACGTAGGTCTCGTGGTCGATGCCGTTGACGTCGGGGGCGATGAAGCGTTGCCATTGCCCATTCTGCACCTTGAGGCATCCGATGGCTTGGGCCACCTTCCTGCCGGCGTACGTCGCATTGCCGCGAGCTCGTAAAGTGAAACGCTTACCGACTGGATCTCCGTCAAAGGATAATCTTCGGGCCCAGGTTGGGCCATCGCCAGCCACTCTGACAGGCTGCGTCGTACATTCTGCTTGGTGGTGACGCCCTTGCTCCTGGCGGCGGTGATGCACGGGCCGACGACGCGGTCGAAAGCGGTGTCCAGGATGGCTGCTGTCGGATCTTCCAGCTTGAGACACTGCAGGACTTGTCCCAGCTCGGCCAGGTGCTGCTCAACTCGTGAAACCCGTGTATCTGTACGATCTTGAGGTGCCGTGAGCTCCCCGAAGCGCACCTCCGCCAGTTTGCGGAGGCCGTCGCACGAGGTGGTGACCGGCTTCCCGAACTCCGTGACCGAGCGTTGCAGCTGTCCCAGGGCCTCGGAGCATGCACTGCGAGTGCCATCGACACGAGAACGGAGAGGCTCCATCTCGCGGGCAGGGTCCTCATGCCTGCACGTCGTCGTCTCGGGTAGGACCACTGGGGACTCCTGCGCGGTCAGGGGACTTGCCGATGCCACCACGAGAGACCAACTGTGACGGGAAGATCGGCGCTGCATCCAGTTGGGCGAGAAGTGCAGCGTCATTAACTAAACATGGCGCCGCGTATGGGCTTCAGAACGCATTTGGGGGAGCCGAGATACGGCTGCTGCAGAGCCGCGGACAGGGGGGGCCAAGATCTGACCAGCTGCTGGTCGGGAGTGTGAGACCTGACCGATTACACCATGCCGCAGGGTGGCTTCGGGCAGCGGCTTGAGCCAAGATGGCTGCGGATCTTCTCCTCCTCCTCCTCCTCCTCCTGTCGTCCTCCTGTTTTCCCCCTGTCTTCCTCCTCCTCCTCCTCCTCCTCCTCCTTTTCCTCCTCCTCATAAACTGCTTCTCCTCCTCCTCTCCTCCTCCTTCTCATCCCCCTCCGTATGCTCCTCCTCATGAGCGTCCTCTCTTCTCCTTTTGCCTACTGCCTACTCATCCTCCTCCCCGAGCCGCCAGCACACGCCGCTTCCTCCTTCTCCTCCTCCTTCTCCTCCTCCTCCTCCTCCTCCTCCGCCCCCTACATCTCATCATCTTGTTTCTCGTCGTTCAAGGTCCGATGAGGAGGACGAGGGACAGCAAGGTGTCTGGCCTGTTTCTAGTCGAGCATTCGAGGCGGAACTAAGAATAACTGATCCTGACCTTGTCCTCGTTCACGCCCCTCGTCTTCTTCCTTCTCCTCCTCCTCCTCCTCCTCCTCCTCCTCCTCCTCCTCATCATCATCATCATCATCATCATCATCATCATCATCATCACATCATCAGCGTAATCATCATCATCATCATCATCATCGTCATCATCATCACCATCACCATCACCATCACCATCATCATCGTCATCGTCATCGTCATCAGCATCAGCATCAGCATCAGCGTCAGCATCAGCATCAGCATCAGCATCAGCATCAGCATCAGCATCAGCATCAGCATCAGCATCAGCATCAGCATCAGCATCAGCATCAGCATCAGCATCATCATCATCATCATCATCATCATCATCATCATCATCATCATCATCATCATCATCATCATCATCATCATCATCATCATCATCATCATCATCATCATCATCATCATCATCATCATCATCGTCATCATTGTCCTCCTCATCATGTTCCTTCACCTTCCCTCCTTCCTCCCCCTGCCTCCTAATCCTGCTTATTCATCCTCCTCCTCTCGCTCTCGTCCCTCTCCTCCCTGCGCTTCGCCACGCCGGCCTCACGACGCTTGACGTCCACAGCGCCTGAATTTACCCGCCTGACAGGCAGCCTACAAAGCACCATCTTTGGCGCGCCAAAAAAACTCCTGGCCGCGTCCCGGGGCCTCGTGGGGACCCCGATCCTTTGGCAGCCCAGGAAGCTCTTCGAGAGCCTTGGTCACCGACCCCGTGTCTGATTCGGCTCTGGGTGGTTGGGATCCAAGCCGAAGCAGGCGTCCGCGATGCTGGCGAAAGCCACCGCGAAGTAGGATACCGAGGAGATGATCTGCAGGATGCCGGTGGCGCAAAGGTTGTTGGGCATGTACTCGAGCGTGTGGGGGCAGTTCATGATGTCCAGGGATATCATGCTCGAGGCAATTGCCAGCGACGCGGTCATGACGCCGATGTCGATCACGCACTTCTGCTTCATACCGACGCCGAATTCGTCGAAGACCTCCTTTCTGCAGTCGAGGATGGCGAAGCCCATGAACGCGGCCGCCTGGATGAATCGAGCGGCCATCGTCTGTGTGTCGAAGACGCAGGCCGCGATGGCCCACTTCTGCGAACTGCTCAGCGGCGCAGGTGCCGGAGCGACGGCCGTCCTCCTGTCGGGCGCACGCTGACATGAATTACGGATTTGTGAATCGTGCGCGTGGGCGCACGGTCCAAGTCTTGCCATCGCTCGAACGTCCACTCCTGGTGCAAAATATTTGGTTTCGTGCGTGCATTTGTGGCTCGATGATCAAGAATGCTCCTCGATAACGCTCGCCGAGAAAGAATTCACAAGTCCGAACGATGCCAAGACGCAGAAGGACATACGCATACTACGCGCCCCTCTTGGATGCGCACGCTCGACCCGAGGTCCCTTAGCACAGCCATCCTATAATGAATCGCTGACCTGGAGTCATGGCCAGAAGGCGCCCGCGACCAAGCATATACGGTGAGGGCATTTTTTTTTACTCTTCGAGCGGGCGCGAGCCCCCGCGTGGTCATGCCACAAATTCTCAGCGGGTCGCAGGCCCGCGCAAACGGCGCGGGACTGCCGAGGGCCCCGCGGCGGCCGAGGGGGGCGCTCACCAACGTCGGCCCCGCCTCCTCGCCGCCCGCGGGGCCGCCTCGCCGCGCTCCAGCGCGCGGTCACGCTCCCCGCGCACCTGGGCTGCCTCTCGCCCTCGGGCGCGGGCGTCGTCCGCCGACGCGAAACCGTGCGCGCGGAGGACGTCCTCCAGGTCGGGCACTGAGAGCTCCTGCAAGCCCGCGCGCACCGCGGGCTGCACCGCCGCCGCGCCCACGGCTGCCGAGGCGTTCGCCGAAGCCGCCGCCGCACCGCCCGCAGGCCCAGCCGCGCCAGCAGCACGCCCCGCCGCAGGCTGTGAAGCCGCAGGCCTTGGCGAGCCTCCTGGGCCGCCAGCCCGCGCCGCCGCCAGGAGCTCGCCCACCTGGGGGTTGGGCCAGACGAGGTCCTCCACCTTGAGCGACCTTCGCCAGCGCTGCATCTCCTCCAACGTCGGCGACTTGAGCATCACGATCGGCGGCTTCTCCTTGCCTGGCAATCGCAATCTGCCGAAGTCAGTCCTGGCCTGAGCACGCGACCCTTGGCTCGATCTGTGATCGCCACCGACACACGGCTTGGCCAGGCCCCTGTGCGCATACCGCGGCTGGTGGCAGTACATGAAGCAGCGCGTGCACACCAGGATGGCCTCGCTCGGCTTGCTCACCACGCTTGTCTGCATAATGTTGTGGCCGTGCACTACCCATGGCTCTGGTCCAGTCGTGGGGGCAGGTGACTGGCGTTGCTCCTCTAGCTGGGTGTGCTGAGAGGACTCTGCTACCGACCTGGCCTCCGCCCTGCGCCGAACCTCTCTGGCAAACACCTCGCTCGCTGCCTCAGCACGATGACTGCCCTCCTCGCCTGGCCCCACAGCGATGAGGGCGGCTGGGGCGGATGCTGCCCTCAGCGCAGCCGCTGGGCGCTTTCGAGTAGGCCCAGCTGCGCCGCCCGCGGCGCCTGCCGCAGCGCCTGTGGCCGCTGCGCTGGTCGCTGCCGCCGCGGCGAAGGCTGCCGCTGACACAGCTGCCGAGCCTCTGCCACGCTGCGCCGTGGAGGCGTCCAACAAGTCGTAGTCCTCGTACTCCCACGACAAGTTCCACGGGTAGAGGCACGGCTGGAGGTTGACGCTGTCCAGGGCTTCCGTCGGCCAGCAGTCTCGCATCCCAGAATCCGTGATGAAGACCTCGATCTCTGCGGCGAAGCGGGCTGCGTCGCGAGCCCTGGCTAAGCAGCCCTCCAAGAGCTGGACATCGTCGGCTGGAAGGGCGTGGAGGGCGGCTCCTCCCTTCGCTCGCTTGTCGGCTAGGCGGTTGCCGAAGAGCTCGATAGCAGATAGCTCCCCTCTGGCCACAGCTGCTTCTGACCGATGTGCAGGAATGTGCTTGACTTCCACACCTTCCGCGGCGTCCCCAACTCTGGCCCAAAGATGGGCGTAGGTCGAGGTTGGGCCCTGAGCCCTGCCAAGGTTGAGCGCCGAGTCCGCTGTGCCCTTGCAGTCGATCAGCAGCTGGTAATTGCCAATGACCTCCGTGAGCGCCACCACCGCTGCGTAGTCTTCTCCAGCACGTGCCGTCTGCGATGGGCATAGACTAGGGGGAACAGCTCCCCACGCCTCTGCTAGGATCGCCCCTTCCTTGGACAGAACGACGACCGACCAGCCAGCGCTGCGCAGGCGCGGGAAGTCACCGAGGATACAGGAGCCGTCGGTGAAGACCATGGCACCGTCTTCGACCACAACTGCTTCATGCCAACCATGCGAGAGCCGCTCCCATTGAGGCTGCCAGCACGGGCGGTGCAACAGCTGGGAGGGATCCACGAACAGGCCCTGGCAGAACAGCTCATCGAACGGCGGGCCCATCTCGTGGACTATCCAAGCTGCACGCTTCAGGTCGGGCGGCAGCCTGTCGCGCCGCCAAGGTTCCCAAGCTGGGCAAACGTGGTGCCTGTGGAACATCGTTCCTCGTTCAGCCTGGCATAGCTTGCAGATCGGGTCGATGTCCGAGGAGTGCCTCGCCAGACGGTCCCGGGGCCAGTGTGAGAGCGAGACGAGCCAGCGGAGGCACCCTTTGTGGTGCCCAGTCCAGGTCTCCGACTCCTTCTTGCCGAGCAGCTCGTTGACTGGCCTCCACTGTGGCGGCAGCTTCCATGGCCAGAGCGATCCAGGACGATCACGAGCCTCCTCCAGCGCGGCCGCTTTCCTCGTGGCCTCTCTGGCCCACTCCGCCAGGAAAGCGGGCGAGAAATGCAGCACCTCGAACTCCCTCTTGTCCTCGTCCAGCAGCTTGGTGCCGTCGACGGCGAGCTGCCAGCCTATCCTCTGCAGAGTGAGCGTGAGCGCCGCTATCGGCTGACGGACTGAGCTCCAAGGCCGCTGCTTGCTTAGCACCTGCTGGCTTTCGTGGATGCACGCTTGGATGGCTGCAGCAGAGGCTTGCCCAGACCACACCACGTTGACGAATGCCTGCGCTGCCATTCCCACTGCGACCACCAGCGGGTCCTGCCGCCAGCCACGGGGCGCACACTGAAGTGCAAAGCTGAGGGCCGCTCCAGGCGGCAGGCGACCCGCGCTCTTCGCCGCGGCCACCCTCAGCGCCCTCATGCGCCCAGGTGGAACTCCAGAGATGGCCGAGCCCCAAGCGCCTTGGCGGTCGGCCCAGCTCGCATCACCCGAGCTTGCCGCAGCCCAGGCCCGAAGATGCGTGTCAGTCTCGCTGCCTGACGGAGTGCATCCAGCTCCCGCTTGACCTGCGTCGCCACCATGCGGTGGCCACCAGCCGTCGCGTCGCCACCGAGATCTCGGTGTCCTTGAGCAAAGGCATCCCTGTCCAGCGGCCACCCCTCCTGCTTCATCAGTTCGCGCTGGGTGTCCACTGAGGATGCCAGCACCTTCGTCTTGCTCCAGTTGATCGGAAGCCGCTTGTCCCTCAGCATCGCCACGACGCCCTGGACGAAGCTGTTCACCTGGCTGACTAGCACACCTCTGGATCCGATACCATTGCCCGAAATGTCGTCAATCACGTTGACGATCCTCCCGATGGGGAGATTGGCTCGGCTCTTGGCAAGAAGGTCCATCAACATGAGTCTGGCCATCGTTGTTGCACACGAGCAGCCAGCTATGACCGTGCCCCTCGCATGTATATCCTCGCTGACGGCGCTGTCTGCCGTAGCCCACCCCGGCCCCGAGTACGCCACACAGAGCGCACGTACCAATCCTGTGCAGAAACCATTCAGCTCGGCCGCGTTCAGCAGCAGCCCGTGGTCGATCCGCTCGTAGAACTTGCTAATGTCAAAGTGCACCGAGACACCTTCGAAGCCGACCTTCCGAGCGAGGCCCAGGTACAGGTTGTGCATACGGTGAGGGCATTTTTATTATTATTCAATCACCCTGGGGCTTATCATGCACAAACAAATTCGACCGCCGTCTTACGGCCCCGCAACCAGCGCTTGCACGGGCCCGCAGCCGACCAGGCCCAGACCCCGAAGCGCGACCGTCACTCCGCGCTCCGCCCGACCACAGGCCTGGGGACCGACGCACTGGCCGCTCGGGAAGCCCTGCCACGCTCCTGAGCCTCAGCAGCGCAGGCAAAGCCAAAGGAGCCCAGGGCTACCTCGAGACCTGGGCGGATCAGCCTCCCAAGGGCAGGCGGGGCGGGTGCCCGATCCCGCAGCACTGGGGGCTCCACGGCGGGGGCTCTAGAGTCTGCAGAGGCCACAGGGTCCTCCACGGCGTCTGGGCCCGCGACCGTGCCGAGCGCCTCGGCCCACCTGGCACGGGTGGCCGCTGTGGGCCGAGCCAACTGGTCGATCGGCTGCTTGGATTTTCCAGACAGGATCGACTTCGCGAAATCATTTCTCGCCTGCGCCCTGGAGCCCTTTTTGGCCCTGGGGTCGTCAGCGCTCTGGGCCCCGACACAGGCCTTGGCAAGGCCCCTGTGGCAGTACTGGGGTTTCAGACAGTACATCCAGCACACCGCGCAAACCAAAAACTCGGGGCCATCCCCGCCCGAAGCTCGGGATTCACGCATACAGTGTCCATTGACCTCCCAGGCCCCCGACTCGACAGGGTCGTCCTGGGACAGGACCGCACGCGAACTACACAAAAACGGGTCCCCTGTCCTCGGGCCGACGGGGCTCGCCCTCAGAGTCCCTGGGGTCCTCCCCTGGCCAGCAGGACCCGAGGGGGCTCTCCGAGGCCTGACCGCGGCCAAAGCGGGGGGAGAGGGACGGGACTGCGACGCAGCCGACTGGGGCGGGCCCTGTGCGCCCGCGGCCGAGGTCGCCCCCTGCTCTTCCTTCTCGGCGCGGCGGCGCTGGAAAGCACGAAGCAAGGCCGCCGACGCGCTCGACGCGTCAGCTACGGATTCACTGGGCCCAACCTGCCCCTCACATGTCACTTTTCTCTTGCGGTCCTGCTTGTCTACCTGGTCCTGGGCCTGGGCTCCTTGGCAAGCCGCCGTTGCCGTCACAAGCCCTGCTGCCGCCCCAAGGGCCGCCAGACCGCCAGGGGCGCGGGCAGCCGAGTTCTCGGCCTCCAGCAGCTGCTCCCAGTCGGGT